TTTCCGCAATTTCAAGGAATGGTCACTAGGGCCAACTGATAGATTCCTTGGTGGCTGAGCATATATGGAGCCATCTATATGTAACAAAACTCACAAAAATCTAAAGGGGAGAGTACATAACCCTGCAGACATTAGAAAGAAAGGCCACCGAATCATCTCCTGATAACTGGATCCTTATTATACAAATCACAATACTGCCAACATCCTCACCCTTATCTTATTATCTCCCAGTTCGAGAAGTTCCAGGCTCTTCAAGTGGTTGACGTTCTCAATGCGGGAAATTTTGTTGGCACACAGGAAAAGCTTTTTTAGGTTTGTGAGGCCTTCCAAGTTTTCAATTTTCCTTATTCTATTGAAGGAGATGTCCAAGACCCTACAAAAAAAAGAAATGAAACAGATATAGTAAAAAAATTGCATCAGTACATGTCTAAAAGTATTTATAAACATGTGTCACTGAATTACTTTAGGGGATTCGTTTATACAGTAAAGAACTTATTAAAAAACAAGCAAAGGTAAAACATGCAGCTTTGAATCTAAAGACCTAAGAAAAAAGTTTACCGGACAAAAAAAAATCCCAAAGATGCATCCAATAATACATACTCAAGATTAACTAGCATAGAGAGGTTCTCAATCACAGTTATTTGGTTGTCGTAAAGCTCCAGTTCTTTTAGCATCGTAAGCGTGTGAAGATTCTCAATTTTTTTGATGAGGTTCCATCGAAGACACAGTGTCTCAACACAGGTCAGTGCCTCCAAGTTCTCAATCTTTGCAATTCGACGATGATTCAAATCCACCTCCTGCATGTGAGGAAAACACATTACATATCAAATACAAATTACATGCATCCTCTCTCCTCTTTATACATTTTGTTCTTTGTCAGTATCTATCACTCTTCTTGTTACTTTTCTCTGTCCATCCCTCCTTATGTACAGCATAAGTGTATAGCTATATCCATCTAAAATCTCCTTATCTCTCTCTCACTCCATTTACGAAATCATTAATTAATTTCTATTATCAGTATACACATATAGTATTAGCTTCTATAATCTTACTATTTGCAACATTACCAAAATTAATTTTTCTACACTATGTTAAAATTCTCATTGCCTACTATATTTCTAGAGCTAGTATATAATCTACACCTAAAGAAACTGAATTTTAAAGACATCTTTATCTAGTTATTAACATCAGACAGCAGAATGCAGCTCAGCTACAATAAATGTTATGTCTGTGCAAAAACATGCCCTTATCCACATTCACATCCAGTCATCCATGCTCACTTCTATTTAGCTCACACAACCTTTAGAGGAAACAAGGGAATAAGAATATTACCGATGCAGATGGATCCAAGATGACTAATTCTTCAGTCTCTCCTTCATCAGCATCCGCTACAGAAAGAGACAAGTTTTGCAAAATGTTTAAACCTTTTGTTTAAAACAGGTTTCTCCCATATGCCACAAAACTCAGTGTTGATCCTATCAATTGGTTTCTTTTAAATGAGATTAAATACCTCGTTTAAAGCTTTCCTAAACTTACAGTAATATGATTTAAAATCCTTTTCAAATTTAAATAATTGTAATAAATGAATTAAAGATTTCACACCAATGGCTGATTACGCAAGATAGTTATACCTCTTGGTTCCAACCTCACCTCTGGATTCTTCTTCAACATCAGATTCAATAGTTGGTTCATCATACTCTTCAGATTGGTGATTGGTTGACACTTCGTCAGAGCCCGGTGACATTTTGTCTGCTGATGATTGATTGGAGTCCCCCATGGCTGTTTAGAGATAACAATGCTCCTTTGTATTTGATATTACATGCTAACATCAACAAGATATTAATGTGAATAATAACAGCAGCAGTAAAACTGGCAGTTATGTGAAGTATCACTAAAACTTTAATCAATTGTTGTTAATGAGGAATAAAGAAATGGTTAATGGGTACAAAGCAAAATACAGATAGTCCCCTACTTAAGAACAGAAATGGTTAATGGGTACAAAGCAAAATACAGATAGTCCCCTACTTAAGAACATTCTACTTATGAACATTCCATACATACAAACAAATTTTTTAAAGTACTAAAGTCCAAAAAATTGTTTGAAAGATGCTAGCAAACTTCAAATTTCCCGGGCACGAATATAGTTCAAGAATCTGGTACTGTATAAGGTATGTCGTACTTATTGGGATTTACTTACAGGTATTCTTGAAGTAAACAAAACTTTAAAACAATGGGAAAAAAGGTAATGGAGACCCAACTTTCGACATACAAACAGATCAACTTACAAACAGCCTCTCGGTCCCCATTATGTTCTTAAGTTGGGGACTAACTGTATATGTGCTTAACATCAACAGTAATATAGCACTATAGAAGGGTGTAATAGTGAAAAGGATTAAGATTATAGGTACTACACATCAGAAGTTGTATAGCAATTTAGGAAAGTAGGAATTAACAAAGGTGATTAGATCAAAATTGTCAAAGGAAGATGTGTGAGATTTTGTATGGATTTCTGTAGGGTAAGACAGGGATTTGCAAAGGGGAGTGGGGTTTAAGGGAGAGAATCCAGGGAAGTGGGTTGCTGAGACAAAGGGTCACATCCAGGGGAAAGTGGGAGGGATGGTGGGGAAGGAGGAAGGGATGATGTAGCTGTAGCAGGAGGGAATGGGATGTGTTGGGAAGGAATGGTAGAAAGGGGTATAGGGGAACATGAGAAGGAAGGTGATGGATGTTGGCAGTTACTTTGAGTGTAGAAGGAATGAGAGTAGAAAGATTGGAGGATAGAAGAGGTGTAGGCATGTTATCTTTGGTCATGATTAAAAAGTTGTGGCTGTGGAATAGCAGTGTTTGGCAGGATGGCAAAGACACCAATAATTCAGACGCCGGGGGGGGAGGGGGTTGATATGGTCAAACGGGGAGGGACTCTCCACCAGTGTAAACATTACTCAAAGGGGGGGGGGGGGGGGCTGCCACAACTGGCAAACCTATGTGATTGTGCAGAGCAGTTTGATTGATTATGACCAGGCTGGGCACAGAAAGGGCATCAGGCTGTGAAATAGCAGTGTTTGACAGGATGGCCAAGACACCAACAATTCTGACACTGACAGGGGGGAGGTTGATATGGTCAAACGGGGAGGGACTCTCCACCAGTGTAAACATTACTCAAAGGGGTCTCTCTGATATCATAGTCCAATCTGATCAATCCTTGTCATAGACAGGGTAGTTTGTTGGGGAGATGGAGAAAGCATTAAGGGATGGATGGGGTTAGGCAGGAAACAGTTTGCCAGTGAATTCAGTTACGGTTGATAATGCCGTAGCTTGGGATTTGGACGGAACTGTGACAAGGCGGGAACAATTGGGGCAGTTGCGGAAGGAAACTACTTATTTTTGGAGGCATTGCTGGAAGACAAGAGTGTTGTCAGAGTAAGGGCAGTGAGAGGATTACAAAAAAATGATCCCATTCGGCTAGGCTAAACAAAGATATTTGTAGAGGAGGGGGTTGTAGAAGGAAGGGTACATGTGGAAGAGGAGTAGTATTGAGAGAAGTAGTACTGTGGAGTGAAGGACAATAAGGCTGCAGAGTAGTAATAGGGGAGGGTGGGTTAGTTGATGAAAAAAGTTGTGGGAGTGGAAGATATGAATTAGTAGATGTTGGGAGAGGAGGAAGGTTTCCTGGAGATTAAGCACTGGCCTCGGTGGATGATTTGGACTGGGCTAAAGTGATAATAGGTATTGAGGAGGGGGTATTAATAGCAGTGTTCAGAGTTGTGGTCAAAGGAGAGCCTAGGATCAGGGAACTGGAATTGAAATCAATGGGGCTATTTGGTACAGGGAAAGTCATATTGCCCTATTAATTGTACAGTCTTCATTACTGGCCATGGTAAGCCTAGGATATGTTGGGAAAGGAAATAGTCCACCCCTCTGGGTCCCTCCGAGGGGCAAGGGCTCAGCAACTAAATGGGAATGCTGTGCCCATGGCTCCCCCAAGGCAATCATGACTGACACAAAGTCAGCCTTTCATCCTTTTAACACGGCTCTCACACCTTAGAAAGTGGATAGTTGAAAGGGTGAGAAAAGGGGAAGGTGAAAGGGGAAGGTGAAAAATTGAGTCAATAGCTAATTTGGGGATAGTCTAAGAGTCTTGTGCCTTCAGGCTCTGTTTTATTTTGCTTTAAATTTATTGCACATGCAAGGAGTGGGCCAGGGTTAACTTCTTCCACTAGTGCAGGATTTGAACTACAGGCAAAGTTAGCTTGGACTGGTATACTTCAAGATAATTTGAGCGACTTTTAGAAATTCCGAAGTCTAAGAAAACAGATGGTATTGCACAATCTTAAAGTAAAATAATACATGACCAAAACAAAAATCTCAAGTAACCAAAGCAGTGGTTTTCAAATGGTTTGCCATATACCTTGAAAAATCTAGGAACTGTTTTCTGTAAAAATAACTCTTTTCAAAGTGATTCACATTTGCTAAAACTGAAATAAATGATGAGGGTCAAAATGTTTTATATTCCTAAATCAAATAACATTAACTTCAACTTACAATAGGAAAGTTTCAATGAAATGCTTATAAGATTTCAAAAATCTATTGACTCCATAAGGTACTGATATAAATATCCTATTTTTTTATACACAGTATAAAATACATATATAATGTTATCAAAGATGCAAATCAACTGACTTAGTTATGAAGCTTCAATTGAAGTCTTATTGTATAAAAAACACTCTTCAATATCAGACATAATGAAATATGTCTCATTTTCCCTCGAAAATGTTAACATCCACTTCAACTTTCACGAATGAAAATATTAGCAATAAACCCACGAAAATATATAAATAACGAAGGATAAATTTTACAAACTCTGTGTCTTACTTCTTGAGTTTCTCCCAGCCTTGCTTGTTTACCAGTATCACTTCTTAAATCCAACAGGCAATAAAGAGTCAACTATCGTCTATTAAACCAATAGAAAACAGTGACTCATACGGATTCGAAAGTTATCATCAAACATGAGTCATAATTGATCTTGTAAATCTCTGACAGATCTCGACTGTTTTCTCGCACTTCACAACGAATCATCCTGCTAAATTCAGTCATAATATCAAGTTCTTAAATTCTGGTTCATTATTTGCGTGAAAAGCCTGTGTTTATTTTACTTACCAGTGTAGTGTATTGGGTGTTGGTTTAGGTGTGTCTGGATTTGTTTACATCGAGTTTACGAAATGTACCGATTTAAAAATATTATTGATTAATTCTACCCAAAGAATCGGGCATGTTATATAAAATATCTATATGGAATACTTTCTCAAGGATTATTCATTTTCAGATGCCGTACCAAAATAATTAATCATTTTCCTGTTAAATAATTTTATACATTTCGGGAAAACAGCGGCCGTTACTTAGGGAATGATGGTAAAAAGCAACCGTAGCATTAAGCATACAAAATCAAAGGAATATTTTACTGATCAAATACTCTTAATCATCAAATCAAAGTCACATGTTTTTTCTATAGACACCATCTGAAATATTTCGGGAAAAACTCGGCTTTTATAAAGGCATGCGCACTGTAACTTTCTTTTTTATATGCGCTCTCTCTCTCTCTCTCTCTCTCTCTCTCTCTCTCTCTCTCTCTCTCTCTATATATATATATATATATATATATATATATATATATATATATATATATGTGTGTGTGTGTGTGTGTGTGTGTGTGTGTGTGTGTGTGTGTGTGTGTGTGTGTGTGTGTGTGTGTGTGTGTGTGTGTGTGTGTAGTCCAATATATATCTATATATACATACACACACACACACACACACACACACACACACACACACACACACACACACACACACACACACATATATATATACATACATATATATATATATATATATATATATATATATATATATATATATGTGTGTGTGTGTGTGTGTGTGTGTGTGTGTGTGTGTGTGTGTGTGTGTGTGTATACATACATATACATATACGTACATATACACACACACACACACACACACACACACACACACGCACGCACACACACACACACACACACACACACATATATATATATATATATATATATATATATATATATATATATATATATATATGTATATATATATATATATATATATATATATATATACATATATATATATATATATATATATATATATATATATATATATATATATATATATATATATATATATATGACTTTGGTCCTCATCTGAAGGCATCTGTCTCCATACAAGATAGGCTCTTCAACCTAGCCGGCTAAGAGCCAAGACGAAAATGCGTGAGGCCCACACCATACCCAATAGTAACAGCAACTCCAGACTCTGTTGACTCACTTTGCCCAGGATTGTACGGACTTCAGTCTAGCCATCAATCTAAAGGAGACCAATGTGATGGGCCAAGATGTTGTAGTCTTTATGATCAATGACTATCAACTGGAGGTCGTTTACCGGTTCACCTATCTGGGGTCCTCCCTCAGCGACCTCTGTCTGGACGAAGAGAACAGCAAGCGGATGGGAAAGGCAAGTACAACCCTTGCCCATCTCACTCCACGTGTCTGAGAGAACTCCAAACTCTCCGTGGAGACAAAGGTGGCTTTGTACAACGCCTGCATCCTCAATACGCTGGTGTATGACAGTGAGACTTGGGCAACCTGTGCCAAGCAAGAGAAGAGGCTCAACACCTGCCAGCGCTGCCTTCGTCACATCCTGCACATCTCCCAAGTGCCCAACACAGAGGTCCTGTCTCGCGTTAGACTTCCCCAATGTCAATCTCAGTGTTGTTAAACTGTAGGGCGCTAAAATATATCGCATATCACACTTATATGGGGTGAGGTTGGTTGTTGTGGGGTGGGGGGTAGGTCCCACATTGCTGCATAATATTGGTCAGACAAGCGTATTGTAAGCTATGTGTGTGTACAACCGTGTAGATTCTTCCTCAAGAAACCCAGTGTTCTGCTTTCTTTATTTTGTATGTTGTCTCTGTGTGAGTTAAACTTGCAGTGTAATTCCTAGATATTTGTGTTGCGTTGGGTAACTATTGTGAGCGGATTGAATGCGGAAATTTTAGAGGCGCTTGGTAACGAGTGAAACATGATTTTGCATTCGTCTGGAAAGTTCATTTGCCATGTGACTTCCCACTGCCCGAGTGAGTCTAGGTCAGTCTGGAGGAGATTACAGCCGCCAGGTGTCTTAATTTGTCGATAGATGAGGCTGTCGTCAGCAAAAGTTTAGTTGTATAATTAGGGGTGGATAGTGGAAGGTCATTTATGTAGAGTAGGAAAAGGAGAGGGCCTAAGACAGTACCCTGGGAGACACCAGAAGTGACAGGAACAGAGCTAGGTATAGTACCATCAAGGAGAACGCGTTGAGTCCTATTTGAAAGAAAAGCTGTGATCCAGTGAAGAGTTTGTCCAGTTATTCCGTAAAACTATAGTCTTCGTGTCATTCTTTTGTGGGGGACTTTGTCAAAGGCTTTGGC